CAAAGTTTTGCACACATTTCAAATGGAAACGCAGTTAGAAACACCAGAAATGCACTTTCTTCATCGACTCAACTTTCCTCATATTGACCTCAACTTTAAAAGATATAAACCCCCAGAGAATCAGTGACCGGCGGTCTTCTGACGTCACGTTTTCGTCTTCTCGCCTCGGCCCGCTGAGCAGAGAGTATCCAATGGAGTATCCAATGGATTGGAGCTGAGTTGTTACTCATGGAAAAGCTGCTTCAGATTTCTATGCATACTGTCAAACTTGCGTTCCAGCATGGCAAAGCGGTACAACATGCGTCTGGTGCTGAAGCAGAGGTTCTCGGAGTTCTTTGAGGAAAAGGTGAAAAAGGAGAGTCACCGCAGCCTCATGATGAAGATGATGGCTCTGGAGGTAAAACTTCTGTAAATCTCAACACAAATGACAGGAAAACCTTCCTAAAAATTATGACGATTCTAATAATTGTGACAGAAAGCTAGAATGTTTTTCTTAAACTACTTTTTTTTTCTACAAATTAAACAGGTTCTTTTGTGTTTGCTTTAAAAATGAGGAACAACATTCCTCAGACATTTATAGAAACAGGAGCAGTTCCTGCTCATGCAGGACTCGCTTCCAGTCTGTACAGAGACGTCAAATGACAGCAACAAACAGAAACGTCGGATTTTATGTTTAATAAAACGTCAGACTGATTTGTGTCTGGCTAATTCAGATGATCTGATGCCATTTGTCCGTATTCAAATAAGGTTCCTGGATTAAAAGACCTTTATTTTTAGATAAATGTAAATCTTGTTTAAGTGCTGTTGTTTGTTGGAAGAAGAAACTGTTCTTGTTGAGCAAAAAAAAAAAGAACTTTTTTTTATTTCATCCATTTACTGCTGGAAAATGAAGAAACTTCACCAATAAGTTTTATTTTATTTTTGTGTTTTTCAAATAAGTGTCTTTCCTTGTATGGCAAGTCCTTAATGAGCTTTTTTTCTGCAAATTTTACAGAAGAAAATTAGCAAAAACAAAAATCTTTGTGAAAAATTACTGCGGAAGAAAACAAAAAAAACAAATATTTATATATATATACAAAAATATAAAAATTAAGTATTACGGTGTCTTTAAAAAAAATTTTTTTTATGCTGAACATTTGCCAGTCATTTTTATTTTATTTTATTTGTTTCCATCTTTAGGTTTTAAAACGAAGAAAAAAAGTTTTGCATAAAAGATGATTGATTTATTCTATGGGATGAAGATATTTCTAGAAAATTAGATCAATATATAGACATAAAAATGAATCAGTTTTCAACCCTCCGACAAGAAACAAAAAATAAAAAACAAAAATATAATTTTCAGTTTTTCAAAGAAAAATGAAGACTTTGTTCTCTGTTTTTTCTCCTGTCGTTTCCGTTGTGCTGCTTCAGCCTTTTCCCTGTGACGATGGAGGTCAGCAGGCTGCCGACAACAAGGAGCAGTACTGCCATGCTAAAGAGCACTGCGGCAGACCTGGAGTCAGACTGCCAGTGGTGAGTTGCCTTCAGCTCTCAACTCCTCCAATAATCCTGATTTAACTCTGTTTTCTGTGTGAACAGGGAACCCTGAGCAAATCTGAGTGGGACGCGACCAGTAAGTTCGATTATATCACATTTTGTTTTCTGATCAAGAAACGTAACGAAAGGTCAAAATTGTTTTCATAAAGCCGACGTCTGAGCAGAATAATGACTCCCTCTTGTTTTTTTTGCAGGTATCTACTTGGTGTTCGTGTTTCAGAAAATGTCCTGATACTCAAAAGCAAAATTCTCCGCCTCACAAACTTACCTCACCTGTTACTCGGCTTATCTGTACAGTTTCTTTTTTTCTGTTGTCATATTTGAATTTTTTTTTTATAAAAATGTAAACCTGCTGGAGAAATTAAGCTGGAAAGAAAATAATAAATCAGTTGTTCAGTCCTATTTATTTTATTTTTTATGTGATGCTGGTTAGAATTGTTGTACGCAAAAGTCACATCAGAAAAAAAACGTTTGGAAAGCAATAATTGTCGACTGATGAAATGTAAGAATCTTGTCTTTGTTATGGAGCCTATGCAATATTTAACCGCAATGCGCTGAACAACGACCTAAACGCCATAAGAGAAAAACATGACAGTGTGCTGAAGGCAAAGTGCCTGAAAGAGCAGGAGCTTCTTAAAGAGACAGAGACCCAATTTCAAGACTGCATTTTTACCACACCATACAAAAGCAATAACTTTACATTTAAAAAAGATTTTAACTTACTCTTTTTTTACAACACATCACCTCGGAGCCGTTTACTTTCTTAAAGTCCCACCACAAGATGTTTAGGGTTGGACTTTGACTGGGCCCTTACAGAACCATATGTCTTTATTTTTTACTTTCCTCGATTTGATGGCTCTGGAGAACATTTAGCATCTACGTCCCCAAGTCATCACACCGCCACCACCGAGCTTAAGGTTGGTCTGAGATTTTAGGTGTTTATTCAAACCTCTGCCTCTTTTAACTACAAACTTCACAAGAGCTTTTGCGCCATTTGTTGCTCACTTAATTCATCAGTGCTGAATTTTATGGTTTACAACTGTTGATCAGCAGCCGTTACAGCGCTAAATTCCCATTGGCTTTCATCATGAATAAATATTTAATGTTTTAATAAGCTGGGAAGGTGAAAATCCATTTGTTGGTTTTCCTACATACAGGTGAATCTGAATCAGAATATCCTCCAACACTTTGACTAATTCAATTTAAAAAGCGAAACTTGGTTATTTCTGCTACTTTTACTTATTTTGTCTGCCATGTTTTCCTTCCACTCAACTTTCCATCAATGTATTTGTAATTTTATACTGGAGAACTGCCAGTTCAGCAGCAGTCTCCATGGTCATATATAACATTTTGCTTTAAATATTGCTTTTCCTGAACTTTGCCGGGTTTATGGTGTTATAATTAAATGAAAAAATAAATTAAACTTTGCATAAAGAAATTACATTTTCTTTTCTGAGTCACTTAAACAAATCAACTTTCAGCAATATTCTAATTTATGGAGATAAATTTGAAACAAAGTTCTGGCTGAGCAACATGGTGCTTTTAACAATATTATACTGACCCCTAGTGGTAGATTACGTGTTTTTTTTTATTTTATCTTGAAAATCCCAATTAGTGGGGAAAAACATGCATGACCGCTTGAGCCACAAAATCTTCTTATAAATATTTTTTATGAGTAGTTTTATTTATTAACAAAAACTGCTGTACTGACTAAACTTCTGCAGTTTAATGAATGTCGTCTGTCTTGTTTAGTTCAAAACAAGGAAGTCTTGATTACCTGAAAATGACAGAGACATTTTTGTGATGCGAATAACAGGAATGTTTCATGTGAGTCTAAAAGTACTCAGACATTTTTGTGCCTGCGGTTACTTACTGTAAGTGTTTTCTGATAACGCGGAAATATAGTTTCATTGAAAGCATTTTTCACGCAGCTTATGACGTATTTTTAACCCTAAATCAAAGCTTATCGCATTATTGGTGCATATTTATTAATTATGTTGACATATAGGATCTCAGTTTTTCTTTAAGTCACAGATCTGGAGCAGGAAGTGTTGGCTTGTTTCTGTGACGGATCCCAGCAGCTGCTGCTGCTATTTATGAACCAGCTGGTTCTGTAAACACACAGATGAAAACTAAAACAATTACATAACAAAGTTACCATAAAACACAAGATCTCAAACCAGAATAACTGCAGAATAACGAGGCACTTCAGATGCTTTCCTTTTGCTGTAGTTTGACTCTAGTTTTCTGTTAACAAATAAATTAAAGTCATACTTCCTGTATTTCCAACTGATGAGCAGAGTTGTGTTGTAACTAATTACATTTACTCGGTTATATTCACCTCAGCAAATTTTTGAAAGAAAAAAAAGTTATTTTGTTCTTTTTACTTTTACTAGAGAGTTTCAGAAGCTTTATATTGAAACAAACTGGTTTGGAAATATATTATTGTCATTTTGGTCCTCAAAACACCAACATTTTTAACTTTTACTCTATATTTTGGTCCGTCTGATTGTTTAATTAAATGATAATGAGCTTTTCACCAGGTGTTACTCAGCTAATTCCTTGGATGGCTGCTTTTTATTTACACTCCTGAAGTAGGTCACATAACCATTACAGATTAATCAACTTTTCTTTATATTATGTTCAAAATAAATACTAATGTGAAGCAAAAGAGCAAACCCGTCCCAAAAATTTGCTTTTAAGCAGCTGGTTTAGTGAAAACAGTGATGTTGACCAGATGTTACGTCTTTATGTAATAACGAAGTGACAGCACATTTCAGTTCGACTTGTTTGTTAAAAGAGGAAATAATTTGAAGACAGATAAAGTCTCTGAATGCCTCCCACTTCTTGATAAGTGATGGCTCATGACACTTTCCTAATAAAAGTAGTTAGAAGTTGGGCCAAAAGTTAGTGGCAGCAGCCCAAAGCCCCATTTTGTACTTTATATAAGAGTCATAAGCTCAAGTATTTGAAAATTATGACATTCTAGGATTTGTACATGGAGGTAGAGGCCAAAAGACGTATTAAACCCAACACTATTACTTTGTATCATCAGTTCATGCCTAATTCTTTATAATTATACCTGTTAATGCACTATAATTTGAGTTTTACCTACTAAAGTACTGTAACTTTCATTAGCAAACACATTTTACCGAATAAGGCACCAAAACAGTTTCCAAATCTGTTTTTGAGCTTTTTTTGTTTGTTTTGTTTTTGTTACAAATTCTAATTTTGATTCAAAATTTGTCAAAATATTTGAATGTTTAAAAAATAAAAAGCATCGAATGACTCGCCATTGCCCTGCTTACAGCTGATTAAAAGCTCTGCTATCTGTGATGAAACATGACCCCATGGGTGTCATCGAGGTCAGAGTAAGATGACCCGTTGGAAGCCTGGGATGACTGAAATACTTTCCACCGTCATGTTTCGGTTTCCTGTGTCTATTTTAGAGGCTACAGCTGCAAGCGTGAGGCTAGAAACCAGCACACGGAGAGAAATCTCCAGAAATTCATGCAAAAAAGTTTTATTTATTGAATTCTTTGAAAAATGTCTGAAAAAACAACTGGTGAGACCTCTGAAAGGAAAGCTTCAACCAACAAGAGCCGCAGGAAGCTGCAGGCTGTGAGCCTGGTGTGCAGCCTGACCAGCGGCTGGCAGCAGTGGGTGGCGGAAAACGAGAAGAAACAAGCCAGCGAGCCCAGCGGCTGGGCGCCGTCGTCCCACGACGAACCAGGGGAACCCAAAAAGAGATGGGCCCCTAAAGAGCCTCACTCTACAAAAGCACTTTCAGAGACTCGAACATCTCAAGGAGCGCCCAGCGACGACGGCGTTCAGACCTCAAACGGGCAGCCATCTTGCATCAGAACAAAGCAGGTGGTGAAGACGGTGTCCAGCGGCGTCCAGGAGAAAATCACAGGTGGCTTTTTCTTCTTCTTCTTCTGTTTTTAATGGTGGTTGGGAAACAATCTACGGTGCTTTACTGCCACCTTCCAGATTGATCATAATATTAATATAAGAAAATATCATTACCAGAGTTGGTAGTTTCCAAAAGTTTTATTCAAGTAGCACTAGTGCAACATAAAAGTAAAAAGTAAGAGTAAGAGTAAAAAAAAAAAAGTGTTTGGTGAAAAGTTTACTCAACTACTGAGTAACTGATCAATTTATCAATAATTTCATATTTAAAAATTACACAATCAGGTGAAACAAAATCTAAAGTATTTTAATGAGAGTAATTCATAAAAAATAAAAAATAAAATCAGACTAAAGAAAACCGTTCCTGATCAGTTTCTTCTAGTAACAAACATAAAACTGGAACAGAAACTGCAGGTCTGTGTCTGGTGAATTTTTGGTTTGTTTTTCATTCAGTTGGTAGAGAATCCAGAAATGTTACCCAAGTAAAAGTAGCAACTTCTCACAATAGAGGTTTTAGCAAAATTGTCAGTCAAATCAATTCCTGCAATTCCAATATGAGCAGGAATCCAGACCAGCATGAATAATAATTCTTTCTCCTGAAATCTGAATTTATATTTTGATAAGAATTATGAGTGAATTCTTATTGACGCACCACTTTAGTCTGAACAAATTCTAACTTTCTTCAACTTCTTCAATCCATTCTAAAACCATAAAATTTGACATTGATTCTCTCGTATGCGCTGTCAATTGATCTGTCACTCAGGTGTGGGCTTCCTGGCTGAAAAGCTGAAAAGGGAATCTGTTCCTTCGGGTGATGAGATTGACCGCCTGCTGAGGAAGAAGAGCTCCCCGACGCGCCGCAGGAAGTGCTCCAACATGGTGTCCTCTCTGACGAAAAGCTGGAAGCAGGTGGAGAATGAGCGGACGCTCGGAAAGGAAGGAGGAGGCAAGGAGACAAAGGAGGCAGAGAGAAGGAGAGCGTCGAGGAGCAAGTTGCTCAGAGACACAGTGAGACGTTTTCAAAGGCTGCGGAGAGAAGCGACTCTGACGAAGACTCAGTGAGGATAAAAAGACCTCAAGTCAGGGTGAGTTCTGGCACCGTGTTTCATTTAAACTGGATTTATTATGCAAAATTCACCTGTTTTATACTTTTATTTGAGTTTTTAAAAAATGCTTTGAAAAAAATCACATTTTTGGCAATAAGTTGGTGTTTTTGGTGTCAGGAAAAAATGAGCAGTTTCAAAAACCTCCAGACTGTTGCCTGGCAACCCCAGTGGAACCCAGGGCGTCACCTAGCAACCAAAGCAGAGCTCAGGAGCATTTGGGCGCCTGGTTTTACGGCTGTAAACCTTTTTTCACTTCCGATACCGACACAAATTTCTGAGGTTTAGTATCAGTCGATAACGATCCGATACAGAAATCAAAACTGACTTGGAACATTTTTTCTTTCCTGAATCACAAATTTATTTGATAACTCTGCACCGGTTCAGCACAACTAAATACACCGCTAGCTTCACAATGTTGGTCAAACATGCAAAAACAACAAAACTTTAATTTGTTGGTGCAATTAGAAGTGTAACAGTAAATGTAAATGTAAAAAAAATAAATAAATAATATAAAACAAAACAGGCCTAAATATAGGTTGTCTACCCTGGTCAAACATTAAAACTGAACTGCAACAAACTTTTGTTCAAATAGTTCATAAAGTGCAATTATAAATTCTAAATATAATGTCAAATAAATACTAAAGAGAAGCTAAGAGCTCATAACATAGAATTAGAGTGCATAGATCTGTCCCTATGGATTGGGCACATTGTCACTAATACCCAATCTAGAATTTTCTTCAATATCAGGACCAGTAATATGTAGAGTACAATGGCTGCTGGAAAAGACAAGTGTTTTGTTGTTCACTTACCAGAAACCACTTGCTGAATTCTTGTTGATTGTGCAGGAGACTCCACTTCTGCTTTTCAAAGATGTACGGTTGGATAATTGCACATCTGTTTGCAGCCATTTTTATGTAAGAGCATCAACGCTGATTTGGGTGGAGTGGCCACCAGCAGCTTATTTGAACGTAATGTGACAAGAGGCCTAAAGCAGTTCCAGACAGGCAGAACTAACCAGACTAAAATCTCATGAACTAAGACTGATTTTGTGACGTCCATGTAACATCTGTGCTGTGTCGCCAATTCCTAACCTGTTTAAAGAAGCGTAATGGGTAACTTTTTGTCATTTCCGAAACAAAAGCTAGTTTAACATTCCCAAAAAGTGTTCTTGCAACTTCCGTCTGGTATGTCCCATAAAACAGTTTGTTCTCATTGTTTTCGCTCAGTGACAGACATTTGACATCCTTATTATACTCTTATGTATTCATGTGTTGAATGGAATTAGAAACATTTTCAGGAGGTGGAAGTTTTTATAAAATGTTACAAGCTGTACTACTTCATAAAATCAGTCCAATGAGAAACGAAGAGGTTGTCGGTTTAAATCTGACATCCTCACGTAAAATCTGGAGCATCTTATATAAATCAGTTAAGATCTGCATTTTTTAAATAAATAACAATTACTTCAAGCATTAAATTAGAAGCAATTCTAACACATCCACTCATGTACATTATGGCAGGACATAATGTAGTGCACAGGGGAATATAATCTCATCTTGTTGCAGTACTCTATAATCTGAGCTAGATGGAGCATTATTGACATTTAATCTGAGAAGTCTGACTTCAGTCTCAGTTCTGGTTTTAATCTCAGATTACAGACATCAATCTCAGGACTCTGACTTTTTTCGGAAGTCTGACTAATCTCAGAATTCTGACAATAATCTAACAATAATCTCATTTTTTGAGATTATTTCAAAAGGCAGAAATCTGAAAAAAGTCATTTTTCAAAGGGTCCTAATCCTCTTTTGTGTAATTCACGTTACCTTAAGTTATTAAACAGCTCATTTAAGTATTAAATATGAAAGAAAATCTCAAGGTCTTCCTGTGGAGCTCTGCTTCATTTGTTCATATTTTAGTGCCTTTTCATGTTTCTGTCTGTCCATAATTGGATACAATGTGACTCCCAGGTACAAAAAGGAAGCTGAGGATGCCAACAAGATCAATGCCCTCTCCAAGAAACACAGCGCTGTTGGAAATCTAAAGAGTCGCTGGCAAAACTGGGCAGTGGAGCACACAGTCAACCAGAAGCTGAACCCCTTCAGCGAATACTTTGACTATGACTACTCGATGTCGCTGCGCCTGCAGAAGGGCGAGGAGGGCTACGGACGTCCAAAGGAGGGCACGAAGACCGCAGAGAGGGCCAAACGAGCCGAGCAGCACATCCACCGTGAAATAGACGACATGTGCTACGTGATCAGGACTATGGCCGATCCGGATCCAGACGGAAAGACCCGCGTCACGTTCGGACAGCTTTTTGACAGATACGTTCGAATCTCCGACAAGGTGGTGGGGATTCTGATGAGAGCCCGGAAACACGGGAAGGTGGCGTTTGAAGGGGAGATGCTGTGGCAGGGCCAGGATGACGGAGTCATCATCACGCTGATGGTCTGATGGTTCACGCCTGACATCAGATGGAAAAAAAAGACTGAGAAAAGCTGAGATCCAGGATCTCAAGAACATGTTTGCTGCTATTTTCAGTAGATACTTGAAGATTTTTATGTTCTGTCAGTGTTGTGAGATCATATGAGTTTTGCAAAACCTGCAACTGAATGTTTTGACTGAAGTCTCCAGAGGTCATTTGGACTGCCATAATCTGCATTATTAGGAACACACTAAGAAAGTGGAAAAAAAGAATAATTAATTAAAATGATGAGGAGAAAAATATCATAAAATTACAAGGATAAAGTCATAGCATCATGACATGATAATAAAGTTGTACGAGAAAAAAGTCAAAATGATCCAAAAATACATTCATAATATTTCAACTTCAGTCTCATAGTATTATGACTTCAGACTCAACATATTGACTTTATTTTCATATTTTGACAATTCTCAACACATATCCTTGTAAAATTATGAGTTTGCTCTCATATTATTATGACTTTTTTCTCATACAATATTATTCTGTAGATATGAGGACTTTATTCTCGTATGAGATTATTGTGGTAATTGTATAAGTTTATTCCTGTAATCGTATGGCTTTAATACTGTGTCATAGCATTCAGAGTAGCTCAGATACTTTTATCAGTTGCGCTTTATTTACAGGTGGAATCGCTTTTTGGCCATTTCCCGAATCGGAAACCGACTTCAACTTCGTGAAACTTTTGGGTTCAACTGCAAAACTCTTGCTGACATAAAATGAGCAACAGAAAAATGTTAAACAGTCTGCAAATCTGGTTACACAGCAAAATACTGTCAGCAAAAGTGAATAATTTAAAATCACTACGAAGGTCCCTACTTAAAATGACAATATTTTATAGTAAGGCTTGCAAAGGTGGTCATTTATTGAATAATTTCAGTATAAAAGAGCGCAATGGCATTTAACCCATTTAGTGCAGTAGCAAGAGTGTATAAGCTAACGTTAACTAAATAAATATTAGTGAGGCAATCCATGGTAAAAATAAACAATTATTTTGTTTGTTGTCAATAACTCCACCTGGGACTTCCACCCAGGAACTGATTTTTGTCACAGGTACGTTTTTGCAATAGTACGGAGCCCCCTAGGGGACATGGGGATTTTTTTTCTTTTGCGAGTTTTGCGAGAAAAAAAAATAGACACTCCGTAAAGTAGACACTACTTCAAATTTATAATAATTTATTAAAATAAAAACATTAAATTTCATAAACTGAACCCAGTGGCCGAGGCTTTGCGGTCGCTGCTGTCAGGTCACATTGGTTGGATCTCCCTCCATCGATCCATGTCGATCACGGGAAAAGCCACAGCAAAAGGGGGCGTCACCGTCAAGGCCAAAACGCACCACCTTACTGGTTTATGTAGTTGGTGTGATTCTATGGAACATGTTTTAATAAGTTGTAGAAAATATGTAAATCAAAGATATGAGAATTTGAGACATAGATATGAGGATCCAATAGGTGGCAGTAGTGCAAGAGCAATGGATGCAAACTGCCGTTACAATGTAAAGGAGAAGAAGAAGAAAAAGTAGAAGAAGAAACAGAAGAAGACAAAGAGGACAGCACATGGTTTGTTTTGTTGAATGTTTGAGTGTTTCTCTAATAAATATCTCCAGTCCAGCTTAAACCAGTGAATCAGCGAGCAGTGAACTGCAGAAACATTGACAGAGTTTAAAGAAATCATCGTCCAGTCGGAGGAAGAGATGGATGATCAGCGCAGACTGCTTGATTTCTCCCGGACTCCCCAGATCATCTTACACCGAATAGGTAGGAAACAGCAGCGTTTGGATGCAGGTTAAGGTCTAAATGTCTGCACCTTTCTGCATGAGGATCATTTTAGTAAACGCTCTTTTCCCGGATAAATGTTTTGTTAGCAGGTAAATGAACGCAGACATCACAATGAGAATGGCTGATTTATGGAGAGAAAATTGAGTTTCTCACAATCTGAGCTTTGTGCTGCGTCAGTGTTTCGTTGTGTAGTGGAAGTAGTGTCAGTAGTCAGTTAAAACGTTGTATCTCTGGAGGAAGGGACTTTGTAACGGCAGACCCAAAACAAATACACACATCATGTGCAAATAAAGTTGCCGAAAGTGAAGAAGAGTCTGTTTCGTGAGTGCAACACTATTTGTGTGTTTGGTTTCCATCCATCCGTTTTCTAACTCGCTTATCGCGAGAGTTGCTGATGCATCTCCAGCAGTTGCATATTTAGGTTTATATTGTTCATATTTCATACTTTAGTTGCACTTTTACAACTGGATTTTCTTTCATTGTACATGTGTAAATCCAAAGTAATTCAAAGTCTTTATATCTTGTTATTAGAGGATGATCAGGGTCTCTGCTCCAACTCTTTATTTCTAATGGGTCGATTTGTCCAATTTTAGATATTTTTTCCATGTAGCGTTTTTTTTGGGGCTTCTGGGAGAAGCTTTTCACAATATAGCCCACTTTGTTTCAAACTGCTTTTCAGCATTATGGAAGAGGAAGATACAGCGGAAACGCTATAAAACCATCAGAAAAGGTTTGTTTTGGAATGTTGCCATACAAGATGGCGCCCAGCGACGTAAACGTCACACGCAGTGAACAGATAAAAATTAAGAAATCATTTAAAATCAATTTTCTACATCTGGGAAGCAATTTGAACAAATTCGCGAGCTTCACACATTTGAAATTTTAAGTGTCAGGTGTTTTAAACAGACATTTGATGAAGTACATTTGTCGCCTTTCTTGTTGATGCATAAAATATATACATATAGAAAAACTTTCACACATAACATGTATTGCATGCATGAGAAATATTTCACTCAGCAAACTGACAATGACTGAGAGCTCTGGCTCGGATGAAATTTACAGTTCGGACAACCACCTCCATTACATGGTGCATTTTTAGCGACTTGCAGCTTAATGCTTCCTGATGCAAAATACAATGAAATGTCCAAAACTCCCCCCTTTATTTGCAGCTTGTACTTTCTCTCTGAACTTTGTCACAACACCTGTCTTTTTCCCAATCATTGACGGCGCACCATCAGTAGCCAGGCTTACGGCGCGGGACGGTCCAACAACAGAGCGGAAAATGTCTTCAGATGTCGTGGTGTCGGCCATTTTTATTAATTTTTTCTTCAATGGTAATGGTCCGGCTGGGGGCATTTAGACCCCGGGCCGGGCTAAATCGTTCGGCGGGCCGCTTCCTGTCTAACTTAGAAAAGCAAATAAGAAAGGAACAAAACTAAACAACTATTAACCTACAAATAAATTCATGTTTATAACTCAACCACAAGGATTTAAAGTGCACGAAAATTAGATTTAACTATTATTCAAAGTAATAAAAGAAGTAATGTATTGAAATAATACAGTTTACTATTAAATACTAACAATAATCCCTACAAAGTTTAATTTTGTAATAAATAAAATATTTTTTTTATCAGTTCATTTGAGAATTCTCCAAATGTCAGCTGGATTTGTCGACTGATGTGTATCTCTGTCTACGCTGTTGAATTTTCAATGTTATTTTGTTCATTTCTGTCTTAAACTGTGAACAATTTCTACTATTTACTTCAGTAAAGTTAACAATTATTCTTTTTATCTGTTTGCTTGTCCAGATTCCCTGAAGTGTAACGTTTATAACCAGGAGAGGAGATCCACTCTGGATGAGTTAGAACCTCTGCAGGTGAAACAAGAACAGGAAGAGCCAGAAGATCATCAGATAAAAGTGGCAGAGAAAGAAGTTTACTGCAGTCAGGGTGAAGAGCTGATTGCATTAAAACAGGAGACTGATACCTGCATGGTGGTTCCTGTTGATGAGCAAACATACCAAACTGAATCAGAACCAAACAGAAACCAAGACATCTTTAAAAAGCCTGATGAAACTGAGAACCAACATCAGGACAGAAGAAAACCTTTATCAGTGTCTCTGTAAAAAACAATTGACTGCCAATATGCTGTCAGTGATCATATCAGAATTCATAAGGGTGAAAAACCGTTTTCATGTGTGAACTGTGGAAAAAGTTTTAGTCAAAAACGGCATTTAACTCGGCACATGATGATTCACACTGGTGAAAAGCCGTTTTCATGTGTGAACTGTGGAAAAAGTTTTAGTGAAAAACGGCATTTAACTCGGCACATGATGATTCACACTGGTGAAAAGCCGTTTTCATGTGTGAACTGTGGAAAAAGTTTCAGTCATAAACAGAGTTTAACTCAGCACATGAGGATTCACACTGGTGAAAAGCCGTTTTCATGTGTGAACTGTGGAAAAAGTTTTAGTCATAAACTTTGTTTAACTCAGCACATGAGGATTCACACTGGTGAAAAGCCGTTTTCATGTGTGAACTGTGGAAAAAGTTTTAGTCAAAAACGGCATTTAACTCGGCACATGATGATTCACACTGGTGAAAAGCCGTTTTCATGTGTGAACTGTGGAAAATGTTTTAGTCAAAAACTTTGTTTAACTCGGCACATGATGATTCACACTGGTGAAAAGCCGTTTTCATGTGTGAACTGTGGAAAAAGTTTTAGTCAAAAACAGGATTAACTCAGCACATGATGATTCACTCTGGTGAAAAGCCGTTTTCATGTGTGAACTGTGGAAAAAGTTTTAGTCTAAAACAGAAATTAACTCGCACATGAGGATTCACACTGGTGAAAAGCCGTTTTCATGTGTGAACTGTGGAAAAAGTTTTAGTCAAAAAGCATTTAACTCGGCACATGATGATTCACACTGGTGAAAAGCCGTTTTCATGTGTGAACTGTGGAAAAAGTTTTAGAATTAAACTTTGTTTAACTCGGCACATGAGGATTCACACTGGTGAAAAGCCGTTTTCATGTGTGAACTGTGGAAAAAGTTTTAGAATTAAACTTTGTTTAACTCGGCACATGAGGATTCACACTGGTGAAAAGCCGTTTTCATGTGTGAACTGTGGAAAAAGTTTTAGTGGAAAACAGCATTTAACTCGGCACATGATGATTCACACTGGTGAAAAGCCGTTTTCATGTGTGAACTGTGGAAAAAGTTTTAGTGAAAACAGCATTTAACTCGGCACATGATGATTCACACTGGTGAAAAGCCGTATTCATGTGTGAACTGTGGAAAAAGTTTTAGTGGAAAACAGCATTTAACTCGGCACATGATGATTCACACTGGTGAAAAGCCGTTTTCATGTGTGAACTGTGGAAAAAGTTTTAGTCGTAAACAGCATTTAACTCGGCACATGATGACTCACACTGGTGAAAAGCCGTTTTCATGTGTGAACTGTGGAAAATGTTTTTGTCGAAAACAGCATTTAACTCGGCACATGATGATTCACACTGGTGAAAAGTCTTAAAAGTTCACTATAAATGTCATTGTAATAAAAATGTGTTATTTACTGGAGGGTTTACATCTATAAAGTGGTGGAAATTTTTTAATTAAGTTGTTAAATGTGATATTTATTTGCACCAAGGATGTGTGTTTGTAGCAGTAGGAAGCAGGCCGATTTGAGAAGCAAAATGCCTGAAGCCGCAGCTACACTGATAGCTTGACTAGACGAAATATGCCAGTCAGAAAGAAAATGTTATCACCTTAGCAGGAGAATGGATCAAAGACTAGAAGTCCTGAGAAACTCTTGTTTTGTAGCCCAGAGAAACAAGAAACAAGAGAAAAGTTTTTATAACCTCAAGAAATTTACAGACAGGATCTTCAAGAGCTACGAAAATGTGCTTGGAAGACAACAGCTGCATGGATGCAGGATGACAACATTGTTTGAGCAGAGACTTGTGACTGAAATCTGGTCTCCTTCTATACAAATGATTTGTAAGCAACGCCTCAATGTAATAAATATTGAGTTGTATGAGAGCACGTTAGAACTGGCCTGGAGACGGAGATAGCAGACGTCCTGAAGCTGGCTCTCCATTCAATTCTATTGCATTTAAAACTTCAACTGTATCTCTTTCGTCATATTGTGAAATGTTTGATAAATGTTTTGTGTTCAGATCCAACAGTTTCCTTGAGAGATTTTCTTGCTGTTGTTTTGTAATTGTTTTGCTTACAAATATATTCATGCCTTACAATAAGTAATTATCTTGTTTGGATTAAAAATTTAATCATTTTTATTAAGCGTTATTCATTTATGCATTATAACAAGTAATCGTCTCACAAAGTTTCAATGTTCCAGAATCTTATTGTAGCATTCATATTAATGTTATAATATTGTGCTTTTAATGCTTCTTGGGATTTATTTGAACATTGTTCTGCAAAAGCAGTGAAAAGGTCAACTGCCATTCTCAGTGCTCTTGTGGACCATTGTGACTAATTTCATGCATTAACAGTTTGACTGGACATGGACTCCCTTCCAGAACATTCTCACAAGATTGGACTTGAGGGATTAATTTGTATTATTCTATTCTGTATAGAGAAAGTGTGAGGGATGGATGATGTTTATCTTAATACACTTATTATCAAAAATACAATGTGCTGTTATGCACTGACTTTACATTTTCTTTGATGATTAGATAAAAAAAATCCATTTTAAAACTTTATGAAATCACTCATTGATTGTTCATGATCTTTTAAAAGTTTGGTTGATTATTATTGTCTTCAGTAATTCTCTGTGTGTCTTTTGTCTTAGTGTATTTTGTTTTTTCTGCTCTTTTCTATTACGAGGAAAACATTTCACGTTCTGCAACGAGAAGTGGCACTGAGAAAAATCTGTAGATGTGATGATCGTAGGATCCACAAGGTGGCAGTAATGCAATGACATGAATGCAGTTAGTCATAAAACCCCAAAGAAGAAGAACAAAGCAAAAGAGATGAAACGAGGTTATGGCTGTTCATAACAGAATTATTTAAATCTGAAGACAAAGGTATAGTTTGGAGAGGAAGCAAGAAGATATGGAAAATTAGGTGGGATATAAATAAATGGAAGGCATTTATATACAATTGATGTAGTAATGGTTAGAGGAATAAACAAAGGAGGAGATAATTATGAATAGAATAAGAACCAGTCAGTTTTTTTAAATGGAACTCTTTTTAAGATGGGGAAACATCTTACTAGTTTATGAAGTTGGTGTGATTCTATGGAACATGTTTTTATTAGTTGTAGAAAATATGTAAATCAAAGATATTAGAGTTTGAGACATAGATATGAGGATCCAATAGGTGGCAGTAGTACAAGAGCAATGGATGCAAACTGCCGTTACAATGTAAAGGAGAAAAAGTAGAAGAAAAAGTAGAAGAAGAAGAAGAAGAAGACAGAGAGGACAGTACATGGTCTGTGTTGTTGAATGTTTGAGTGTTTCTCTAATAAATATCTCCAGTCCAGCTTAAACCAGTGAATCAGCGAGCAGTGAACTGCAGAAACATTGACAGAGTTTAAAGAAATCATCGTCCAGTCGGAGGAAGAGATGGATGATCAGCGCAGACTGCTTGATTTCTCCGGACTCCCAGATCATCTTACACCGAATAGGTAGGAAACAGCAGCGTTTGGATGCAGGTTAAGGTCTAAATGTCTAGTGTTACTTCACTATTGTATCCCACTTTATGTTGGATAATTACATAAAATTCTTATGAAATATATTTTCAGATGTGTTTATGTGATAAAATTTGGAAAAGTTCAAGGGTTAATACTTTTGAAGCCACGGGAGAATCAATGCAGTGAAGATGTGGCGCACCTAAAACTGCCACCCCATTATTTTATTTTGGTTGTATTAATATTTATTAAATAATTTTTAAATATTTTAATGTATGACTTATTCGATTTATTCCAAAAATGAACAAGTTATATTTTGTTTGTTTCGGAGCAGCAGTGGCGAAGCGGAACTTTTGTTTGGGGGACGTTGCTCCCGGGTTGGTTTTACGGTGGAGTTCCGGTTTTCTTTTTCTTTTGTTTTTTTGTTTGGGTGACTTCTCTCTTAAACGATGGAAGTTTTTTATTTACTTCAGTGAAGTGAATTCCTAATTTTCTCTGTTTTATTCTCCAGATCACCTACAACATGACGTTTATGAGGATGAGCTAAGTCAGCAGGAGAGGAGATCCACTCTGGACCAGGAGGAGTTAGAACCTCTGCAGGTGAAACAAGAACAGGAAGAGCCAGAAAATCATCAGATAAAAGGAGAACCGAAGGATCTAGAACACCTGCAGATAAAAGTGGAAGATAAAGAAGTTTACTGCAGTCAGGGTGAAGAACTGATTCAATTAAAACAGGAGACTGATAACTGCATGGTGGTTCCTGTTGATGAGCAAACATACCAAACTGAATCAGAACCAAACAGGAACCAAGACATGTTAAAAAAGCCTGATGAAACTGAGAACCAACATCAGGACAGAAGAAAACCTTTCTCATGTGTCATTTGTAAAAAGCGTTTTGCCTTCAGATCTGCTTTTGAGGCTCACATGAAAACTCATACTGGTAAAAAGCCATTTTTATGTCTGACTTGTGGAAAACGTTTTTGTCAAAAAGAGGTTTTAACTCGACACTTGACGATTCACACAGGTAAAATGCCGTTTTTGTGTGTGATCTGTGGTAAATATTTTTGGCTTTTAACTGGTCACATGAGGTGTCATACAGATGAAAAGTCTTTCATTTTTTTTCTGCTTTCTCTTTTCTTTCAAATCTGCTTTCGATGCTCACCAGAGAACTCATAGGAAGGAAAAGCCTTTTTCATGTGGTACCTGTGGACAATCTTTTAGCCAAAAACACGTTTTAACTAATCACATGATGGTTCACATCGGTGTAAAGCCTTTTTCATGTGAGAACTGTGGAAAATGCTTTACTTTCAAGTCTGCTTTCAATGTTCATGTGAGAACTCACACAGGAGAAAAGCCTTTTCTATGCGTCATCTGTGGGAAAAGTTTTAGTTGCAAACAATATTTATCTGAGCACATGACGATTCACTCAGGTGAAAAGCCGTTTTCATGTATGACCTGTGGAAAGTGTTTTGCTTTCAAATCTGCTTTTGATGCTCATAGAACTCACACTGGGGAGAAACCCCTTTTAATGCGTCACTTGTGGGAAATGTTTCAGTCAAAAACATGTTCTACTTAATCATATTGTAATTCACACAAATACGAGGCCTTTTTGGTGTCTTATTTGTGGAAAAGGTTTGAGTAAAAAATTTTATTTAACTGTCCACATGAGAAATCACTCGGGTAGTTATTAATTTAGAGCGCAAAAAAAAAAGAAATTCTAATAAAAAAGCCTAATTTGTCATTTTATTCCTGACCATAACATGGTTGTCATGGGTGACATGAATGCAGACATCTCAGATAAAAACTCAGTTTGCTAAACACCATTTTTTTTTTACAAATTCTAATCTAGTATTGTCAAGTAAAGAGCGTCTGCCAGCTGCTAGCTACATTTATGTAATTGAAGCTTGGCATACTGTGTCTTGGTTGGACCATTGTATGACTACAGCAGATGCTCATCTTGCTATGCTATACCTAAAAATCTTATGCAATATGTCCACTGTTGACCACATCCCCTTCGAGGTGTCAACTAAATGTGAACAGTAATCAAATAGCTCATTACTATGCCCAAACTGATCAATTGTTATGTACCATTAAAATACCAAGAGAGGCAGTTACTTGTTCAGACGGTAACTGCTCTATTATTGGACACAGAGCCAATATAACTGGATTATATTCTAATATAATTGAAGCTACTGGGAGCTGGCCTTCCTTATGATAAAAGTAATATAAAGATTCAAAACAGACCAGGCTGCAACACCTATGTGTCTAAATACCACAGTGAAGCTCCTACTTCTTGGGCTCTAGCAGGTAAACCTAGGCAGGGCCCTTTATTTGAACATAAAAAGCGGTCTAATGCAAAATACAAATATGCACTATGGTTCATTATCCAGAATAAGAAAACCATGAGGGCTGACTGCTTGGCAAAAAAGCTTATAGGTAAGGATACAAAAGCCTTTTGGAAAGAGGTTAAAACCATCAAACAGTAAATCCTCTCCCTTGCACTGTCAATGGCGCTTCTGGGACGAATATGATTGTTGATTTTTGGCAACGTCACTACAGAAAATTATTTTCCTGTGTATACAGTGAACCCTTTCAAGTTGACAAGGTTAGTACTGTAGAAATGATCAAAACACACGAGGTCTATCAAGCAATTAAGGAACTGTCTGTAAATAAATCTGAAGGAATGGAGTTCAAGGGTCGCCCCTCTTCTTGCCTTGTGTTTCACTGATTTTATTATTCCTGTTTTTATTCCTGATAGCTTGATGAATGTACTTCTACTTCCAGTGATTTAAAAAAAAAAGCTGGTAAAATAGGCAGCTCTGATAACTATAACCTAGTACACACTCTGAAGTCTTTGAACTTATTCTTTTGCCAAAATTTGCAGATTGTTATGTCTGTAGACAATCAATTTGGGTTCAAGTCCAACCTGATACATGAGAATTACTGGATAATTATAACAGTAAAAACTACAGTTTTTCTGTGTTTTTAGACACCACTAAGGCTTTTGATCGTGTAAATCAGAAAAAACTAATTTTAAAATTGTGCAACGCTGTTGTGGGCAAATATATAGTAAGATGTCTGTCCTATTGGTGTGCTAATCAAACTATGCAGGTCAAATGGGACAAGTGTATGTCTGCATCCTTTCGTCTGAGATAAGGAAGCATTTTATTTCCTATGTTGTTTAATTTTCATGTGAATGATCTCTCTAATCTCCTGAACCTGTGTAGAACTGGCTGCATGGATGGTGAAAACTATTATTAATCATTTAATGTATGCTGATGACCGAGACGTTTTTAGTCCCAGTTCAGCTGGTCTTCAGAAACTGCATCATGTTGGTAACCTACATGATAAATTCAATCCATCAAAAATTATCTTGATCTGTTGCACTAAGGAGGAAAAAATAGGGCATTTCCAAATTTCAAGCTGTCTGGGACTCTATTGAATTAAATGAAGTAAAATATCTTGGTCATGTGTCGACAGACTGTCTGTGATTTACCGTCAGGTCCGAATGTCATCTGCTCAGGCAAATATCCTTGTTTAGATCATATTGTACATCACTGTATACTGCACATTTGTGATGCAACGTTCAAAGAGCCAGTCTTCAAAGATTGAAGGTGGCTGACAATGACTTTTGTTAAATAAGCCCAGATGGACCAGTGCCAGTGAACTGTTTGTATCCGCTCGCGTCAGCATTTTGATGGCTGTTTTAAGAAAGCTTATGTTTAATTTTATTTGTCATATAAACGAGTCTAATAATAGCATTATCCTAGTGTTGATGAAATATATTGCAGTAAAATATATTGCAGTAAAATACTCATCTGTACTCTGGAGACATTGGTATGACTGTCTCCTGAAACGCTAGTAGCCGTTATTTTATGTATTTTTTTCTACTTTTATCAATTTTTTCTTCTTCTTTTTTTATGTAATTTGGACTTTGAGTCTGTAATAAAATCTATCTAAATCTATCTATAGTCTTCAACTTATTGAGTAAAATCTGCTAAGTGGCTTGACTTAGATAGGTTGGCTAAGGAGGCTATTAAACAAGAAGTTATTGATATGCCAGTAAAATGATTTAAATCTGAAGACAAAGGTATAGTTTGGAGAGGAAGCAAGAAGATTTGGAAAATTACGTGGAATAATGAAATAAATGGAAGGCATTTATATACATTTGATGTAGTAATGGTTAGAGGAATAAACAGGAGGGAGGAGATAATTATGAATAGAATAAGAACAGTCAGTTTTTTTTAAATGGAACTCTTTTTAAGATGGGGAAACATCTTACTGGTTTATGTAGTTGGTGTGATTTTATGGAACATGTTTTTATTAGTTTTAGAAAATATGTAAATCAAAGATATGAGAATTTGAGACATAGATATGAGGATCCAATAGGTGGCAGTAGTGCAACAACAATGGATGCAAACTTCCGTTACAATGTAAAGGAGAAGAAGAAGAAAAAGTAGGAGAAGAAGAAGTAGAAGAAGACAAAGAGGACAGCACGTGGTCTGTTTGTTGAATGTTTGAGTTTTTCTCTAATAAATATCTTCAGTCCAGCTTAAACCAGTGAATCAGCGAGCAGTGAACTGCAGAAACATTGACAGAGTTTAAAGAAATCATCGTCCAGTCGGAGGAAGAGATGGAGGATCAGCGCAGACTGCTTGATTTCTCCCGGACTCCCCAGATCATCTTACACCGAATAGGTAGGAAACAGCAGCGTTTGGATGCAGGTTAAGGTCTAAATGTCTGCACCTTTCTGCATGAGGATCATTTTAGTAAACGCTCTTTTCCCGGATAAATGTTTTGTTAGCAGGTAAATGAATGCAGACATCACAATGAGAATGGCTGATTTATGGAGAGAAAATGGAGTTTCTCACAATCTGAGCTTTGTGCTGCGTCAGTGTTTCGTTGTGTAGTGGAAGTAGTGTCAGTAGTCAGTTAAAACGTTGTAGCTCTGGAAGAAGGGACTTTGTAACGGCAGCCCCAACACAAATACACACATCATGTGCAAATAAAGTTGCCGAAAGTGAAGAAGAGTCTGTTTCGTGAGTGCAACACTATTTGTGTGTTTGGTTTCCATCCATCCGTTTTCTAACTCGCTTATCGCGAGAGTTGCTGATGCATCTCCAGCAGTTGCATATTTAGGTTTATATTGTACATATTTCATACTTTAGTTGCACTTTTCCAACTGGATTTTCTTTCATTGTACATGTGTAAATCCAAATTAATTCAAAGTCTTTCTATCTTGTTATTAGAGGATGATCAGGGTCTCTGCTCCAACTCTTTATTTCTAACGGGTCGATTTGTCTAATTTTAGATATTTTTCCATGTAACATTTTTTTTGGGCTTCTGGGAGAAGCTTTTCACAATATATCCCACTTTGTTTCAAACTGCTTTTCTGCATTATGGAAGAGGAAGATACAGCGGAAAGGTGATAAAACCATCAAAAAATGTTTGTTTTGGTATGTTGCCATACAAGATGGCGCCCAGCGACGTAAACGTCACACGCAGTGACATAACTTCCAAGCCTCTAGAGCAGGGGTGTCAAATTCATTTTGGTTTAGGGGCCGCATTCAGCTCAACCTGATCTCAAGGGGCCGCACAAATTAACTCATTGCAAGATTAAATGGAACTAATGAAAGTGGACTCGTTGATTTTTAAATTAAACAAATTTCACTTTTGCAAAAATATATTATGAATAACTTCAGACTTTTTAAGAAAAGTATATACAATTTCAACAATAATTTTACTCAGTTAAACATTTATTTAAATGCATTATGCATAAGAACTGATCACAGTGATTGTACAAAGTTGCAAAACATTTATTCAGTTTTTGGAACTTCAAACACTGTCCTGCGTGACAAAATACATCAAACAGATAAAAATTTAGAAATGATTTAAAATCAATTTAAATAATTTCCACCCCGACTCGGTCCATCCCGACTCGGTCCACCCCGACTCGGTCCGGCGCTCCAACAACGGAGCGGAAAATGTCTTCAGATGTCGGTCATGGGCACCAACTCTAGAAACTCCTCTGACAGTCAACATCAACTCCACGAATAAATATGGCCAGTTGAGCGACATCTGCAACATCAGTACTCTCTCTCATCAATGGCAACAGAAAATGCCAGAAATGACTCCGTTTTTCGTTTGAGCTGGTTGTCCAAATTTGCCGATAGTTCTGAAATCCTGTCTGCGACGGTATTTCTAGTCAAGCTAATATTGGAAAAGCTTGTCGCTTCTCAGGACACAACTTGAGCAGCTTCAGCATGCAGTTCTTGCCGAACTCTACCTTACAGTGAGGCTTTGATGCTAACGCTATTTGGCTAGCAGTTAGCTAGCTGGCTTTCACCGCAGCATCACTGGCCTCGACTCTGGGTGAAAACAGATTGCTGTTTCCTCAGACCGTCAACATTTCATTTATCTTCTGATTTCTCAGTTCTCCTTGCAAGTGCTTGTATTTTTCACCATGCTGAGTTTCATAGTGGCGGTGAATATTGTATTCCTTAAGCACCGAAACCTGCTGCAGGCACACAAGGCACACGGGTTTTCCATTCACCTGCATGAACAAATAAGCAGTCAATTTTTCTTGAAAAATCCGACACTCTGTGTCTACTTTTCTCTTTTTTGAGAAAGACATGTCGTTGATGAGGCTGCCGGGGCCAAAATAACACGCGGATGAAGCGATAGAATCGAAGCTGTTTACAGAACCTGAAGCTCATTTGAGAATTCTCCAAATGTCAGCTGGATTTGTTGACTGATGTATATCTCTGTCTACGCTGTTGAATTTTCAATGTTATTTTGTTCATTTGTGTCTTAAACTGTGAACAATTTCTACTATTTACTTCAGTAAAGTTAACACTTCTTCTTTTTATCTGTTTGCTTGTCCAGATTCCCTGAAGTGTAACGTTTATAACCAGGAGAGGAGATCCACTCTGGACCAGGAGGAGTTAGAACCTCTGCAGGTGAAACAAGAACAGGAAGAGCCAGAAAATCATCAGATAAAAGAAGAACAGGAGGATCTAGAACACCTGCAGATAAAAGTGGAAGAGAAAGAAGTTTACTGCAGTCAGGGTGAAGAACAGATTGAATTAAAACAGGAGACTGATACCTGCATGGTGGTTCCTGTTGATGAGCAAACATACCAAACTGAATCAGAACCAAATGGGAACCAAGACATCTTAGAAAAGCCTGATGAAACTGAGAACCAAAATCAGGACAGAAGAAAACCTTTATCAGGTGTCATCTGTAAAAAACAATCGACTGCCAAATATGCTGTCAGTGATCATATCAGAATTCATGAGGGTGAAAAACCGTTTTCATGTGTGAACTGTGGAAAAAGTTTTAGTGAAAAACGGGCATTAACTCAGCACATGATGATTCACACTGGTGAAAAGCCGTTTTCATGTGTGAACTGTGGAAAAAGTTTTAGAATTAAACTTTGTTTAACTCGGCACATGATGATTCACACTGGTGAAAAACCGTTTTCATGTGTGAACTGTGGAAAAAGTTTTAGTCAAAAACTTTGTTTAACTCGGCACATGATGATTCACACTGGTGAAAAGCTGTTTTCATGTGTGAACTGTGGAAAAAGTTTTAGTGAAAAAAAGGCATTAACTCGGCACATGAGGATTCACACTGGTGAAAAGCCGTTTTCATGTGTGAACTGTGGAAAAAGTTTTAGAATTAAACTTTGTTTAACTCGGCACATGATGATTCACACTGGTGAAAAACCGTTTTCATGTGTGAACTGTGGAAAAAGTTTTAGTCAAAAACAGCATTTAACTCAGCACATGATGATTCACACTGGTGAAAAGCCGTTTTCATGTGTGAACTGTGGAAAAAGTTTTAGTGAAAAACGGGCATTAACTCAGCACATGATGATTCACACTGGTGAAAAGCCGTTTTCATGTGTGAACTGTGGAAAAAGTTTTAGTCATAAACTTTGTTTAACTCTGCACATGATGATTCACACTGGTGAAAAGCCGTTTTCATGTGTGAACTGTGGAAAAAGTTTTAGTCGTAAACAGCATTTAACTCGGCACATGATGATTCACACTGGTGAAAAGCCGTTTTCATGTGTGAACTGTGGAAAAAGTTTTAGACATAAACGGGCATTAACTCAACACATGATGATTCACACTGGTGAAAAGCCGTTTTCATGTGTGAACTGTGGAAAATGTTTTTGTCGAAAACAGCATTTAACTCAACACATGATGATTCACACTGGTGAAAAGCCGTTTTCATGTGTGTCCTGTGGAAAAAGTTTTAGTCGTAAACAGCTTTTAACTCGGCACATGAGGATTCACACTGGTGAAAAGTCTTAAAAGTTCACTATAAATGTCATTGTAATAAAAATTTGTTATTTACTGGAGGGTTTGCATCTATAAAGTGGTGACATTTTTTAATTAAGTTGTTAAATGTGATATTTATTTGCCCCTAGGATGTGTGTTTGTAGCAGTAGGAAGCAGGCCGATTTGAGAAGCAAAATGCCTGAAGCCGCAGCTACACTGATAGCTTGACTAGACGAAAAATGCCAGTCATAAAGAAAATGTTATCACCTTAGCAGGAGAATGGATCAAAGACTAGAAGTCCTGAGAAACTCTTTTTTTGTAGCCCAGAGAAACAAGAAACAAGAGAAAAGTTTTTATAACCTCAAGAAATTGACAGACAGGATCTTCAAGAGCTACAAAAATGTGCTTGGAGGACAACAGCTGCATAGATGCAGGATGACAACATTGTTTGAGCAGAGATTGTGACTGAAATCTGGTCTCCTTCTATGCAAATGATTTGTAAGCAACGCCTCAATGTAATAAATATTGAGTTGTATGAGAGCACGTTAGAAACTGGCCTGGAGACGGAGATAGCAGACGTCCTGAAGCTGGCTCTCCATTCAATTCTATTGCATTTAAAACTTCAACTGTATCTCTTTCGTCATATTGTGAAATGTTTGATAAATGTTTTGTGTTCAGATCCAACAGTTTCCTTGAGAGATTTTCTTGCTGTTGTTTTGTAATTGTTTTGCTTACAAATATATTCATGCCTTATAATAAGTAATTGTCTTGTTTGGATTAAAAGCATTTAATCATTTTTATTCAGCGTTATTCATTTATGCATTATAACAAGTAATCGTCTCACAAAGTTTCAATGTTCCAGAATCTTATTGTAGCATTCATATTAATATAATATTGTGCTTTTAATGCTTCTTGGGATTTATTTGAACATTGTTCTGCAAAAGCAGTGAAAAGGTCAACTGCCATTCTCAGTGCTCTTGTGGACCATTGTGACTAATTTCATGCATTAACAGAGTTTGACTGGACATGGACTCCCTTCCAGAACATTCTCACAAGATTGGACTTGAGGGATTGATTTGTATTATTCTATTCTGTATAGAGAAAGTGTGAGGGATGGATGTTGTTTATCTTAATACACTAATTATCAAAAATACAATGTGCTATGCACTGATGTTACATTTTCTTTGATGATTAGATAAAAAAAATCCATTTAAAAACTATGAAATCACTCATTGATTGTTCATGATTTTTTAAAAGTTTGGTTGATTATTATTGTCTTCAGTAATTCTCTGTGTGTCTTTTGTCTTAGTTGTATTTTTGTTTTTTCTGCTCTTTTCTATTACGAGGAAAACATTTCACGTTCTGCCACGAGAAGTGGCACTGAGAAAAATCTGTAGATGTGATGATCGTAGGATCCACAAGGTGGCAGTAATGCAATGACATGAATGCAGTTAGTCATAAAACCCCAAAGAAGAAGAAGACAAAGCAAAGGAGATGAAACGAGGTTTATGGCTGTTCATAACAGAATTATTTAAATCTGAAGACAAAGGTATAGTTTGGAGAGGAAGCAAGAAGATTTGGAAAATTAGGTGGGATATAAATAAATGGAAGGCATTTATATACAATTGATGTAGTAATGGTTAGAGGAAATAAACAGGAGGGAGGAGATAATTATGAATAGAATAAGAACCAGTCAGTTTTTTTAAATGGAACTCTTTTTAAGATGGGGAAACATCTTACTGGTTTATGAAGTTGGTGTGATTCTATGGAACATGTTTTTATTAGGTATAGAAAATATGTAAATCAAAGATATTAGAGTTTGAGACATAGATATGAGGATCCAATAGGTGGCAGTAGTGCAAGAGCAATGGATGCAAACTGCCGTTAAAATGTAAAGGAGAAAAAGTAGAAGAAGAAGACAGAGAGAACAGCACATGGTCTGTGTTGTTGAATGTTTGAGTGTTTCTCTAATAAATATCTCCAGTCCAGCTTAAACCAGTTAATCAGCGAGCAGTGAACTGCAGGAACATTGACAGAGTTTAAAGAAATCATCGTCCAGTCGGAGGAAGAGATGGATGATCAGCGCAGACTGCTTGATTTCTCCCGGACTCCCCAGATCATCTTACACCGAATAGGTAGGAAACAGCAGCGTTTGGATGCAGGTTAAGGTCTAAATGTCTAGTGTTACTTCACTATTGTATCCCACTTTATGTTGGATAATTACATAAAATTCTTATGAAATATATTTTCAGATGTGTTTATGTGATAAAATTTGGAAAAGTTCAAGGGTTAATACTTTTGAAGCCACGGGAGAATCAATGCAGTGAAGATGTGGCGCACCTAAAACTGCCACCCCATTATTTTATTTTGGTTGTATTAATATTTATTAAATAATTTTAATGTATTTTAATGTATGACTTATTCGATTTATTCCAAAAATGAACAAGTTATATTTTGTTTGTTTCGGAGCAGCAGTGGCGAAGCGGAACTTTTTTGGGGGGGACGTTGCTCCCGGGTTGGTTTTACGGTGGAGTTCCGGTTTTCTTTTTCTTTTGTTTTTTTGTTTGGGTGACTTCTCTCTTAAACGATGGAAGTTTTTTATTTACTTCAATGAAGTGAATTCCTAATTTTTTCTGTTTTCTTCTCCAGATCACCTACAACATGACGTTTATGAGGATGAGCTAAGTCAGCAGGAGAGGAGATCCAATTATTTTTAATTAATTAATTAATTATTTTCCTGTGTATACAGTGAACCCTTTCAAGTTGACAAGGTTAGTACTGTAGAAATGATCAAAACACACGAGGTCTATCAAGCAATTAAGGAACTGTCTGTAAATAAATCTGAAGGAATGGAGTTCAAGGGTCGCCCCTCTTCTTGCCTTGTGTTTCACTGATTTTATTATTTCTGTTTTTATTCCTGATAGCTTGATGAATGTACTTCTACTTCCGGTGATTTAAAAAAAAAGCTGGTAAAATAGGTAGCTCTGATAACTATAACCTAGTACACACTCTGAAGTCTTTGAACTTATTCTTTTGCCAAAATTTGCAGATTGTTATGTCTGTAGACAATCAATTTGGGTTCAAGTCCAACCTGATACATGAGAATTACTGGATAATTATAACAGTAAAAACTCTACAGTTTTTCTGTGTTTTTAGACGCCACTAAGGCTTTTGATCGTGTAAATCAGAAAAAACTAATTTTAAAATTGTGCAACGCTGTTGTGGGCAAATATATAGTAAGATGTCTGTCCTATTGGTGTGCTAATCAAACTATGCAGGTCAAATGGGACAAGTGTATGTCTGCATCCTTTCGTCTGAGATAAGGAAGCATTTTATTTCCTATGTTGTTTAATTTTCATGTGAATGATCTCTCTAATCTCCTGAACCTGTGTAGAACTGGCTGCATGGATGGTGAAACTATTATTAATCATTTAATGTATGCTGATGACCGAGACGTTTTTAGTCCCAGTTCAGCTGGTCTTCAGAAACTGCATCATGTTGGTAACCTACATGATAAATTCAATCCATCAAAAAGTATCTTGATCTGTTGCACTAAGGAGGAAAAAAATAGGGCATTTCCAAATTTCAAGCTGTCTGGGACTCTATTGAATTTCTCTAATGAAGTAAAATATCTTGGTCATGTGTCGACAGACTGTCTGTGATTTACCGTCAGGTCCGAATGTCATCTGCTCAGGCAAATATCCTTGTTTAGATCATATTGTACATCACTGTATACTGCACATTTGTGGTGCAACGTTCAAAGAGCCAGTCTTCAAAGATTGAAGGTGGCTGACAATGACTTTTGTTAAATAAGCCCAGATGGACCAGTGCCAGTGAACTGTTTGTATCCGCTCGCGTCAGCATTTTGATGGCTGTTTTAAGAAAGCTTATGTTTAATTTTATTTGTCATATAAACGAGTCTAATAATAGCATTATCCTACTGTTGATGAAATATATTGCAGTAAAAAATATTCTGCAGTAAAATATATTCTGCAGTAAAATACTCATCTGTACTCTGGAGACATTGGTATGACTGCCTCCTGAAACGCTAGTAGCCGTTATTTTATGTATTTTTTCTACTTTTATCAATTTTTTTTCTTCTTCTTTTTTTATGTAATTTGGACTTGAGTCTGTAATAAAATCTATCTAAATCTATCTATAGTCTTCAACTTATTGAGTAAAATCTGCTAAGTGGCTTGACTTAGATAGGTTGGCTAAGGAGGCTATTAAACAAGAAGTTATTGATATGCCAGTGAAATGATTTAAATCTGAAGACAAAGGTATAGTTTGGAGAGGAAGCAAGAAGATTTGGAAAATTACGTGGGATAATGAAATAAATGGAAGGCATTTATATACAATTGATGTCGTAATGGTTAGCGGAATAAACAGGAGGGAGGAGATAATTATGAGTAGAATAAGAACCAGTCAGTTTTTTTTAAATGGAACTCTTTTTAAGATGGGGAAACATCTTACTGGTTTATGAAGTTGGTGTGATTTTATGGAACATGTTTTTATTAGTTGTAGAAAATATGTAAATCAAAGATATTAGAGTTTGAGACATAGATATGAGGATCCAATAGGTGGCAGTAGTGCAAGAGCAATGGATGCAAACTGCCGTTAAAATGTAAAGGAGATGAAGAAGCAAAAGGAGATGAAGAAGAAGAAGTAGTAGAAGAAGAAGAAGTAGAAGAAGACAAAGAGGACAGCACATGGTCTGTTTTGTTGAATGTTTGAGTGTTTCTCTAATAAATATCTCCAGTCCAGCTTAAACCAGTGAATCAGCGAGCAGTGAACTGCAGAAACATTGACAGAGTTTAAAGAAATCATCGTCCAGTCGGAGGAAGAGATGGAGGATCAGCGCAGACTGCTTGATTTCTCCCGGACTCCCCAGATCATCTTACACCGAATAGGTAGGAAACAGCAGCGTTTGGATGCAGGTTAAGGTCTAAATGTCTGCACCTTTCTGCATGAGGATCATTTTAGTAAACGCTCTTTTCCCGGATAAATGTTTTGTTAGCAGGTAAATGAACGCAGACATCACAATGAGAATGGCTGATTTATGGAGAGAAAATGGAGTTTCTCACAATCTGAGCTTTGTGCTGCGTCAGTGTTTCGTTGTGTAGTGGAAGTAGTGTCAGTAGTCAGTTAAAACGTTGTAGCTCTGGAAGAAGGAACTTTGTATCGGCAGCCCCGAAACAAATACACACATCATGTGCAAATAAAGTTGCCGAAACTGAAGAAGAGTCTGTTTCGTGAGTGCAACACTATTTGTGTGTTTGGTTTCCATCCATCCGTTTTCTAACTCTTATCGCGAGAGTTGCTGATGCATCTCCAGCAGTTGCATATTTAGGTTTATATTGTACATATTTCATACTTTAGTTGCACTTTTCCAACTGGATTTTCTTTCATTGTACATGTGTAAATCCAAAGTAATTCAAAGTCT